TGACATTTCCCAGAAATACTCTGGCCCACCATTCAAACAGCCAAATAAAAACATGTCTTGGCTGATTTTTCAAACTGTCAGTTATACTTACTTCCTGAAACTATTATATTAGGAAAGGAGGGGGAACAAAACAAAACTCTCAAATCTATTTATCAGTTAAAATATATGTCACATCTTCATGCCTCTTTCAGCCTCTTATCCAGAAGAATCAAGAAGTAAAATACTCAAGTAACCAATCTCCTCTCCTCCCTTACCTGTTCTTAACAAGTCTGGCCTCTCATCTATAGAACATTTTTCCCAAGAAAGTCAAGGTGGGCAACATTAATTAGCACTTCCTTTCAACTGCCTAATCTTTATACTACTGGGTCACAATTAAACAATTTAGTGTAGAGGCTTTGAACAGCCTGGCATTTCCTCAAAAGGTTAAACATTAGCCACCATATGATTCTACAATTCAATTTCTAACTATATATTCAAAGGAACTGAAAACAAACTTCTAGAAACTTGTATACAAATGCTGAGAGCAGTGCTATTCACAAAAGGCAAAAGGCAGCCAAGTATGGTGACAACATGCCTGTAATCCCAGCACTTGGGGAGGCCAGGGCAGTTAAGATTCCCATCCTAGGGTACATGAGACTGCCTCTCCTCCTCCTCCCATTAAAAAACCAAAAAGCCCCAAAAGGGAGAACAAAACATGAACACAGATTCAAACACAGAAGACCACATATTGTAGTGTTTCATCATCTGATTTACATAGTATGTTAAAAAGCAAATTAACAGAAACAAAGAGTAGTAGTTGCCTACTGCAGGCTGAGGAAGATAAAAAGGGGAGTGTATGTGGCACCAGTGTTTTCTGGGGTATGTGTGAAAACACTCTGAAGTTGACCATGGTAATAATTACACAACTATGGATACACCACAAACCGCTAAATTATGTGCTTTACCTTAATAAAGCATCATTAAAAGGGAGTTATCCTAGTGTCAGTGCATTTCTATAATCCCAGGATTCCAGGAGGTTAAGGCAAAAGGATCTCAGATCTGAGCTCAGCCTGGGCAAAGTAGTGAGGGCCTGTCTCAGAACAAAAAGCACCAGTGTGAATCCTGGGTTCAATGCCCAGTGCCAAAAAAATGGTGGCAGGATTAACACAGTTTCATTAATTAGCTATTTCCTAATTAATTCCTTAAAAAAACTCATAAAATTTCTTATTTGCTTTGTCAGTGTAAATTTTAAGATCCACAAGAACAAAAAGGGAGATACGCAGTCAAAACAATTACAGCAGCACCAATTTCTGATTTCTAAATCAGAAATCTGACTGATCAAAGCTAAGTAAGAACTGATTATTTATTTATTTATTTTTGCGGAAATGGGGATTGAACTCAGGCACTTGTGCGTGCCAGGGAAGCACTTATTCCACTGAGCCATTTCCGCTGCCCTTGAATTTTTTTTTTTTTTAAATCCAAATATTCTTTTTTTTTTTCCCAAATATTCTTATAAAGCTGTTAGTGAGGGAAAACAACAACAACAACAACAACAAAAAAAAAAAAACCCCAAAAACAAAAAAACAACCACCAACACAACCATATTTTATCATGTATGTTTATACGTGCTTATATCTACAACTCATGTTGTAACAGTCAGGCTCTGCTTTGTGGTAATGTGGTTTTTTGTTTTGTTTTGGACACAGGGTCTTGTCCTGTGGTCCATGCCGGCCTTGAACTTTCTGCCTCAGCCTCCTGAGTGCTGGGATTACAATGGTGCACCATCATGCCTGACTGTGGCAACATGTTCAAAAATTTTTTCGAAAAAAATTCCTTTACACAGCAAACAGCTTTTAAGGTATTTCTTAATACACTTCAATGAGAAAAAATGTTCATAATGTAATGTATGTTAAAACTGCTACTAAGGATACCTTTGGATTGTGGAATTTTTTCTTCTTATACATCTCTATTTCCTTATTTTCTGCTATAATACTTTTTATAATTAGGAAAAAAATCTTAAACACGATTTCTATGTATTACCAAATACATGATATATAACAAATAGATATTTTAGTTATCATCAACTAGTAAGGCCCAGTTTTCAAACACATGGATCAAGTCTGTGGTTGAGAACACAGCCATTATCTTAATCATCCAGCACCAGTTGTCCATACCACCCCCCATACTTCAGATTCTACTAATCCCACCCACTTCCCCCAAAATAAACTCAGCACTTAAAGAGTTTGAACAAAGATGAATATGATATATTCCACTCTTACCCTAACTCCTCAGAGGATTCCTAAGTAACAAGCATTTACCGAATATTTTAGGTTACTCATACAAACTAGCATCAACTTAATCAGTTAAGAGCATTACAATAAGACATAAGAATACAGCAGCAGGGTCAGTACAGGGAATAAAGTGAGAGAAACCTTTATTTTTTAGGTGTAAAAAAGCAACCGAAGAAAATATAACGGAGAAATACGTACTGTCCAAATATGGCATCAACATTTTTGCTTTACATTATAAAAAGGATGAATTTTTAAAAATGTTTCAAAATTGTCTGAAATTACAGAATCAATGACATGCCCTCTTAAAAATGAAAACATCAACTACCTCTCAAAACATGGTTACTAAAAAGCATTCACTGTATACCTGATTGCCAATTTGGTGTAATAAAAAAGAAAAACCAGGAATGTTTTAGAACTACAATAAACTTTTTAAAAAGGAAACCAATTCCTGAATTTCTTACCTGAATCTTGAGAAATTACAGCTTTCTGTTATATTAACAAGATATATTTCAAAGTACACATGCATTGCAGAATGGTTAAATGTAGCTAATTCAAAATTCTGTGTAGTTGTTTCTAAAGAGAGTAGGTAACATTTACTCCATATTATTTGGGAACAGGATGTACCAACTGCAGTCACTTTGCCATACTATGTACTATAATCCCCTGAAATTTATTCTTAGATGTAATTATGTATCCTACTGATCAAATTTTGACTTGTATAGTACTTCTAGATAGCTTTATTTAAAAAAAAAGCATTCATTTAATTCTGCAACGTAATATAACTGAAAACCAAAGTACAGTAGGATTTTTTTTCCTTTGAGAACTGAAATTACTAGAAAATCCAAGTTTCCTTCCTGTAAGTCTTTGAAAATAATCCTAGATCTGGGAAGTGTGGTAGGAACTTTGGATACCTAAGTAGTCTATGAATGCATTGTCAAACTAAACACTCTTCTGCAGGATTAAGACGAAATGAATTTTTTTTGAGAAAGGAGGCTAGAAAAAAACCTAGAAAGTCACTTGTTTAGACTGGGAGCTCTTTCAGTGAAGACTCCAAAGACTCGGTCTTATCTTTGAGTTCCTGGTGGCTGGCACAGAGTTACTACGATAAACACTAGCAAAATTAAAAGGAAAATGTACCTAGAATAGAATTTTTACCAAAAGAAAAAATAAAGACTATCCAAAACCAGAAACACAAATTCAATGTGAATTCACAAAAACAATAAAATTACTTAGGGTACTTTTCCTTTTTTTTTTTTTTTTTTTTACAATAACCTTGACTTCACTAGTATCCGTAAATCATAAAAAAGTTGTATCTGATTTAAAAGGTTCCAATTTAAATATTTTAAAATACACAAATGTTCTTCGTTATGCCTATAAAGCTTATGAATATATATATATATATGTTTTCGTGAGCTTGAATTTCTCCCGGAGTAACCAAGACATGAAAGTTTATCTCCTTTGTAGAGCGATGCACAATCACGATATAATATTTTTCAAAACAAATTTCTCAAAGATCCAACAAGATGTTCAAAACTGTCAGAAGACCACAAGGCATTTAGCAAACATAGTGCAAGCAGCAGTGGTACCCCCCAGGAATAACCTTTATATAAAAAGGTGGCTGAAAGTTCCAGGTAAAATTTGTGCTTTCTATTCAGCCCCCAAACTGCTGGAATGCTCTTACATCTGGAGCAAATATACCAATTTAATTACACAAAGGGTACAACACAGAACTCATGTGGTTTTAGCTATCATCGCATTAGTTGGAAAAGGTCCTCCTCCGTACAATTTTCTGAGATGATTTTCCAAATATAAAACACACAACTGCTACGTTCTAATAATTATCTTCAGAAAATCTGAAAGCAAGGAACTGCAGTACACACTCAATCTTTCAAAGATGTGTGACAAAGAGAACTCTAAAACGCTTAAAAAGGCTTAAATTCTTTCCTATACACAGAACAATCATGATGAAAATGTTAGAGCAAAAGACGTTTAACTCTGAATAAAATCCTGCAATGAATTAATACATTTAACTGATGGATTCTTTCTCTCTTTCCTTTCTTTCCCCTTACGGTCCTACTAACACTAAACCCACGAGGGCAAGGAAACTTCAAACGTTGCTAGCAGCCTTGTAAATATCTTTTTAAGCCCCCAAAGAGGCTCCACCGCAAGGCTTTTAGTGAATATGTGTAGACATTAAACTTTGCTCAATCCTTTTAAAATTTCAAGTCCCAAAGCCCAACCTTTCAGCCAACATGTGTAGATTTCGTATTTCTTAAATTGTTACCTTCAACCCGACCAACGATTCTCCCATCTCTGTAAAACCAAGTAAGAGTCGCTATCGCTATCATCCTTTCCTGAAAACGACTCCGTTCTAGAGCATCATGTAAAAATGCAGAACAGATGAAACAAACCCCCTAAGAAAGAATTTTACAGAATTCATTCCGGCTCAGAGACAGCAAAGGCTATCGCACAAGGGAAAAAACCGCACATCCCAGGGACACACAAGGCCCTGAGCTGCACCCTCGCCCCCTCCTGCGAGGGTCGCCGAGCCCGGCACGCACCGCCCGGGGCGCCCGGCGGCCTTCCGGCAAGGCTGCCCGCGGATGGCTCAGCCGCGCGGGGCCCGGACCCTCCGCCCCCTCCGCCCTCCGGGGGACTCGTTTCACGGCGGCCCAGGGAGCCTCGGGCGCCGCGGCGAGGGCAGCGCGGGAAGCGGGGCGCCCCACTCACCCTCCAGCAGGCGGGTGATGAGGCTGTCCACGTTCAGCTCCCCGTCCGCCATCTTGTCGGCACCACACTCTCCTTCCCGGCAGTGGGAACAAGGGCTTCTCGGCGGCGGAGGCTGCGGCGACGGCTCCGCGTTCCCTCACCTACAAGTCACGCGGCGTTTCGACCCCGGCTCCAACTCCCCGTTCTCCCGGGCCCTCCCCCCACCCCTCCCCGCCGAGCAGCGAGAGCGCGCGCTCACGGCGAGGCACCCACGGTAAATAAATAAATAAACAAACAGGAGCACCCACGAACCCGGCCGCATCAGACCCAGCCCGCCACCTCCTCCTCCTCTTCCTCCTCCTCCTCCTCGGCACCGCCCAGCTCCGCAAAGCTCACCAGCGCCGCCGACAGCCCCACCCGCAGGGCCACTCACTCTGCGCGGGCCCTAGCCGCCGCCGAGCCAGGAAGCCTTCTGCGCACGCGCACCGCGCGAACCCCGGCGCGCCCCGCCCCGCTCGGGCCTTTGCGCAATCGCAGTGGGAGCAGCTCCCCCGCCGCCGCCGCCGCCGCCGCCGCCTGGGTTTGCGCACACACGCCCCGCCCTCCCGCCCTCCGCAAGTGCGCGGCGCCCGCTCGCCGGCAGCGCAGGCGCGGGGCGGGGCCGGGGCCGCGTTGGCCGAGCCTCAGAGGCTTCCTTTAGGCAGCGCAGTCTCGGGCCGGGTTGACGTTCCGCTTTTCCTGCACCTCCTCACTGCTTGGCAGGCGTACTGCCTCGCTTTGTTTCTGGCTCCCTTTCGGTTCTGCAAATAATTCTCTATGCGTTTGTTAGCCAGAAAACACGCGGACTGCAGTTACCAGTGTTGGAAACTCAGGCGTGTGGAAAGCAGGAAGGGGCTACTCGCCGGAAAGTCTTGACGTTGAAAATAAATAACCTACCGTCCCACAAGGTTTGTTCCCCAGGTCATCTTGCCTAACAAAGTGGACCCGAGAAAGATCTGCAGTAGTACCACTTTGGAAGCTTTCGCAAATCTTATGTTTCCATCTTCTCTCTGGGTACCATTTTCTAGTGTTCTTCTTTTCGTGCCTCCATTGTGTTGCTTAATCTCCCTAGCTTGTAATTGTTTAGGCATTTATCTCCCAGGCTCACTCAGCTCCTACAGGATAAACGCGTTATCTTTTTGCTCGCAGCACCCATCAAATATGTAGCGCACGGGAGAGAGATAAAGGGCAAATGAGGGTTGGGAAAGGTTAAGTTGTCCAGCTTTCTTCCCACCACGTAATACTGCCTCAGGAAGGGGAGGAGGAAGCGGAACCACCCAAAGGATTCAGACCAACCACAGACTCTGACCTGTCTCAACGTGGTCAGGGGAAAGGCCTTCACCCAGTCCACCGGTGCTGTGGTATTTTTTCACCCACTAGCATGTTACTTGTAATAACTTTTACCGAGATGTCTGTGTGTGCTCTGGCACTGTTTAAGATGTTGTACATGTATCATCCTTGCAGTAGCCCCCTGTGGAAAGTCCACTGTCGCTACTTTGTGGATGGACTTCATGTACGGAATGGTTAAGTACTGAACTGCAGATCACACAAGGTAAGTAAGCAACAGAGCTGGATTTCAAAACCATGCATCGGGCCAGAGAGATAGCTCAGTAGAATAAGCTATCTCTTATTGCCTGGCAAGTGTCAATCCCCGGTACCGCAAAACAAATAAAAAAACGGGCATCTAAGCCTAGCTTGGTGGCACATGCCTGTAGTACCAGCACTTGCGAGGCTGAGGCAGGAGGATTGCTGTGAGTTCCAGACCAGCCTGGTCTATGATGTGAGCTGAAAGTCCCCCTAAAAAGCGTAGCAAGACTCTACAAAACAGAACAAAACAACAGGCATCTAATGTCAGAAGCTAAGCTCAGTGTTTTTCTCAGTGCTAGGAATCCATCCAGGGCCTAGGCACCCCTGAACTACACCCCGACCTTACCACTCCCTCTGTATGTATGTGAGCCGATCATGTTTAAACATGCTTGTGCCTTGTCACAATCTCTGGGAGTAGACACTAGGTTTTTTTTTTTTTTTTCCAACATTGTCCAATCAAGTTTTTTGTAATGTACAGATAAATGATAGAGCTAGGATGTCCTAATACCTTTTGTTTTTCTAGTTACTTTTCCATTTTATGATTTAGCTTGTGTATTATGATGAAGTTAGAACAGGTTAGGTATAATGTTGATCCGCTCTGAAATAGAGTTAAGACACTAGAGTAATCTGAAAAGTGTAAGTTACAGTCATTTCATTTTGGGACCTGGGGGGTGGGGATAGGGCTCATTGTCCCTCTTTCTTTTATTAAGGTACATTTATTTATACCAAACTTCATTCTAGAAGATCAGACTTAAGGTAACTTACATAAATGTATACAGAAGAGTAAATGAAAAATAAGTATAGAGAGGCCAGGGAGATAGCTCAGTAGAATAAGTGCTTGCCTGGAAAGCGCAGGGTCCTGAGTTCAATCCCCGGTACTACAAAATAAATAAAAATAAGTACAGAAGAAAATAGAACAATAAAATTGAGAATAAGAGGGATGAAATTAGACCAACAGTTTTGTATGCAAAATGCATGGTGTAAGGTCCTGTTGGGTGGCTATACATACGCCAGAAATATGATTCTCAGCTTTCTAACAAACATGAAAAAGATCAGTTACTAGTGGAGTAGGTGTTTTGGCTGAGCTAGAAATGAGAGTTGAGCACAGCAGCTTGCAGAATTAGATTCCACTTCCCAAATTTCTTCTATGAGCCTCCTTAATAGCATGGAAAGATTGGGAACATTTAGATAGTTTTGTAGTTATCCTCTACTTTTCATGGGACCTGTGAATCCTATGAAAAAGAACTTTGAATCTTGCCTAAATTAAGGTTCAAGTGCTGCAGACATGTTCTTTAAACAACACACAAAAGGAACCGGGCTGTGCCAATGGGAAGCAGGCATTGCAGGACAAACCACGAGGAACAGAGCAGAGGCCGGTCTCAGCTGAGTTACGTGAGCCAGAAGAGCAGGATGTGTAGTTCTGGGTACTGCTTTCTGATGTCCTCTAACCTCACCAGCTTTTCCAGGGGAGGATGGGACATCGTGAAAATGAAAGATCACTACCGCTGAACCTTCTCAAGAGCCAAGTTTTTGTGCATGATTTAGTAAAGAGACTCCTTCCTCCATCATGATGTTTTGGGCCCCTTGTCCAAGATCAGATAGTTGGAAGTCCCCGGAAATATTTCTGTGTCCTTTGTCTATTCTGTCAGCTACATGTCTGTTGTTTTTTGTCATTATAATTTTTGTTTGTTTGTTTTTGCCAGTAACATGCTGTTTTTATCATTGCAGCATGGTAGCATAACTTTCAGGATTGTGATACCTCCCTCTTTGTTTTTATTACTCAGTATTGCTTTTCCTCTTCTAGGTCTTTTCTGGATGCATTTGAATTTTAGGATTACTTTCTTTAGTTTTGCGAAGAGTGCTACTGGTATTTTGATTGGTACATAAAACTGCATGTCAGTTTTGGAAGTGTGGCCATTTTGACAATTTTGGTTCTGTAGTTAGCAAGTTTAAATGGGTAGTTACTGTCTTCAAATACAAGACGTTTACTTAGCGATTAGTTTATCTTGAAAGATATATTAGGTACTTAAGGTAATATGTTCCACTTGAATTTGGTGTGTATATGTTGAGATGAAAGAAAGACTACTAGCCAAGAGAAGGGAAAGGGAAATTTGGTTAAATTTGCTTTACAAATGTTTGGGTTGGACTTCCTGGAAAATAGTGGAGTGGTGAAACAGCTGGTGTCTGGACACAGGAATATAGCAATACAAGGAAAAGAAGGAGGAGGGAATTGGGTCACTGGCAGCTAGCAAGGATCTGAAGTGAACACTGAAGCCTCCAGGGACAGTGAAGAGAGAGACTTCAATGCAGAAGAAGGCAGTGGTGAGCAGCACTTTCTCCCTGAGCCCTGACTCTCTGCATAGGAGGGGTGACTTGAACCTGCAAACCCACAGTGACTACTATTGAACCCAGAGGCCTCCACAGAGAAACACACCAGTGGAAGGGAGATGAATACACAGCAGACTGTAGTGGCTTGTGAATTGTTTGTGTTCAGAAGTCCCCAGGAAAGAATAATTAACCAACAGCCATCTTAAAGAGGCTGGCCAACTGAGCTCAGAACTCAGAACAGCTGTGGGTGTCCCCATCTATTGGCTCCCAGTGTCTGGGAGAGGTGGAACTGAGTTCAAGTCATCAGGAAGTCAAGGAGCCAAGTTCAAGCCACCAGGAGGCACACAGAGTGTTGCAGGTATAGCAGATCAGGTTCCAGCCTCACAGCCAGAAAAGTCTGAACTTCCATGACAACAAATACACAGGCTTCCTGGGATTATCTACTACCCCACTGTAAAGTTACACCTGACTTGCAGGGATTGATCAATTTGGATCTGGACTCAGCCTGGCCACGTTGTCTGGCAGTGACAGCAGAGACATCCCTGAAGTAAATATTTTTCTTCTTTTCCTCTTTTTTTTTTTTGTTTGTTGTTTTTATGTGTGTGAACATTGCTTATGGTTTTTCTGTTCTTATTTTTGTTTCTTCTCCTTCCCTCCTATCCTCTTCATCAGTTTCCTAAAGTTCCCATAATCCTGTGTCCTCCAGCCTTGCTTGTAATCTCTTCTGTTTCTCTATTTTCCCCCAACTCCTTTTTAGTTTTATCTCCTGAGGTTAAAATCACCACATCGAGGGCATATTTACTGTATAGAAATTTATAGTGTGTTTTAGAGTTGGTTATATAACCACATATATACTTCATACAGTTAAAAGTGGCAAATTAGTGGATTCCACACTTTGACATTTTCTAGGCTGTGTCTGATGCTATTGTTATTACTGATTATAATAATTATGTAATGACATAATTATTTTAATCAGTTGTTCTTTTTGATGTGCTAAGACTGAGATTACCTAAGGATCATAAACAGTACTGTAGGCCAGTGCTAAAGAACCACGAGGTAGGCCAAACAGGCACCAACTTCCCATCCCCAGTAAATTTAAGAAGTAGGATCTTGGAATAAACTCAAATTTTAAAAGCCAGTTACACCTGGAAGACATCTCTGAGAAGTACTCATTTACTAAGAGTTCTAAATACTGCCAGTAAAGCTACCTGCCATAAGCAGTTTATCAGCTTCAACCCAGGAATTAAACTAAAAACAAAAAATGAAGTGATATTTAAATCAGGTGCAGCCCTAGAATTCCAGCTCACTGGAGGCAACAAGATAGAACAATTTGAGAGCCACTCAGCTAGACTCTGAAGAAATAGCAGATAAATGAGGCTCTAGTAAAAAAAAAAAAGTCATATCAGAAATAATTGTTTGGATAACTACAGAGTTTGTGAACATAATGAAAGATGTGCTTTCATGTGACTCTAAAGCAGATACATGTAGAAAGAAAATAGAGGGGCTTAGGAAAATCAAGGAAGTCA